ATATTTGGAGACTATCCCTATATATTATGCTATTATATACAAATATAGAGGTAATTATAGCGGTAACAAATTAATTAATATATACGAAAAGTTATACTAAGCTTTCATTTTCAATTAATTGAATTATAATTAACAAACTAACAAATAGCAGTAATGGTATAATAGGATAGAAAGAGGATAAAAATAAAAAACACAATGATATTTAAAAGTTTTAAATTTACCTAGTTATACAAAAATCTAATGTTATAGTACAATCTTGAATTTCTAATAAATGTTCACATTTTCTATAAAATAAAATGACAATAAAAAATAAAAAAATTCGATAGCCATTTTTTTATTTCAATTTTACAGTTTTCATTAAAAAAACAAAATCCAATCAAAATCCTTAGCACAGAATGGGTATAGATACTTCGATTGCAACCATCACCAATAATTCTTCTCCACTGTGTAAACCTACAAACAAACACATAAATCTCACTAAAGCTGAAACCAAAACAAAAACCAGTAACAGAGAAAAAGAATCACACAAGGAAAAAAATAAAATTAAAAAACAAATAAATTTATGGAGTGGTAGGATATTACCCCCAACAACTTAGACCTCATCCCGCCTAATCCGTCAACTCCTCCACCAGTGTCCGCGAAGTCTAGGAGTTGGGATAACTAATCAGATTATTCTTTAAATAAGACTTGAAAATTGATTAATTTGTCCCATTAAGTGATTTAAAATTTTGATAGATATACATCAAAAAATAGATAATTATATTATTGAATCATAATTTAAATTTAGATATTGTCATATATTTTTGAGATCTATATCTAAATTCTTATCTTCTTTATTTTTGTGTGGCTTCTTTTTTTTTCAATTTATTTAAGATGGAATTGTGGGTTTCTTTTTTTTTTTTAATTTAATTTATTTATGGTTTCTATTTGTTTTTAATTATTATTATTTAGGTAAGTTAGGATGTGAGTTAGATATGTGATAGACATGTGAGTTTTATTGATTTAAAGTATGATGGTGTAAGATATTTTCAAATTAGATTTGTTTATATAAACTTTAAAGATTTTTAAAATTTAAAATTGGATACTGAAAGGCAAAAAAAAAAAAGATTTTAACTGAATGAATAAAAATCATATTTATTAATTTTATCTGTTTGTATATTTGATTTTGAATTTTTTTTTTTTTGATTTTGTTATAATATAATATATAAAAGATATAGATAGATAACCAGAATTCTCATGAAAAATATTATCTGATTTTTTGAGGGAGAGAAAAGAAAGGCAAGTTTTAATATTTTCTTTTGGAAATTGATGAGAGAAATTAGAATGGACAGATTATGAAACATTTTTGTTATCTTTCTATTTGAAATCCATAAATTAAGGGATAATTATTATTTTCAAAATAATTAAATAGGTATGGGAGAAGTTGAAAAGGGGAGATAATTATTATTTCCAAAATAATTAAATATATATGGAAGAAATTAAAAATGGTGTATATATGAGACATCAAAAAGGATTGGGAGAAGTCAATAAGTGCTAAGGTTTTTTTTTTTTTTAAATCAAAAAATTATGAAATTAAGATTGAGATATTGGAGCTCCCATAAAATTTGTGAGTTAAAATCTCACTTTTCCTCATATAATATATAAATAGATAGATAAGGAGCGTCCAGACAAACCTAGGAGTGTCAAAGTGACCCACAGCTCGGGGTGGACTCGACTCGTTTGAGCCCGACCTGAGTCCAACCCGAGCCCTTGGGCCCAAGCCTGGGCCATCATTTTGAAGCCCAACCCGACCCATCGGCCTGCTTAAGGCCTACTCAAGGCCCGGCCCACCCGGCTCGCGCCGAGGTCCAGTGTCTTTTTTAGTAAAAAATAATAAAATTTTCTTAGAAAAAATTAAAGAAAAAACAAAAAAATTATTCAGACCTGTCTAAGGCCCCCCGCCTACGCTTGGGTCTGGGCCTAATTTTTTTGACCCGTGGGCCAACCCGAATTTTAGCTGGAACTCGCAAAGGCTCGACATGAATTAGGTCGGTCCCTTATCCGAGTAGGGCGGGCCGGGTCAGACTAGCTTTACACCCCTAGACAAGCCCATCAATTAACAATCATACTCTCAATTTTAAATTTCACATTACTTGGATATATTAGACTCCAAGGTATTTATGAGTTCATGATCATTTTTTTTTTTTTTTTTTTTCATATAATCGTTTTGCTGGTAATGGACTTGGAATGAAACCACAAAAGTAGTCTTAGCATGTGACAAATTATTTTTTAATTAAAAAGTTACAAAAATTATTAAAAAAATAAAATTTCAATCCCAGTAATAAAATAGTCAAAAGTTATAAAAACCACACAAGTGGCTTTTTAATTAAAAAAACTCAAAAAGTCATAAAAAATATTAAAAAATCAAAATTTTAACCCTATTAATAAAAAATCATATAGTACATATTAATCATTTTTTTTTTCTCATAAGTATTCATTTTTTTTCCACCTCATAATCAATTAAAAAACTAAAAAACACTAAAACAAATAAACTCCCAAATAGGCCCTAGTTGTATTTAGAATTTAGTGGGTAGAAATGCATGTATTCATTATAATTTTAATAAAAATCAATACTATACAAATAATGATGATACAAAAAGATAAGAAATAATAACTCAGAGAAAAAAATTCAGAAAACAAACCCAAAAAGTTAAATACGAATCAAACTTGAGTATCTTGATTTTTAACAAGTTTAAAATTATATTTAAGTTTGACTTGTTTACATTATGAGTTGATTTAAAATGAATTTTTAATAAATTGAAATACCTTTGATTTCGAACAAATTTTTAATGAGTTAAATACGAATCTAACCTGATTATCTTGATTTTTTATAATACATATAATGTTTATCGAGCTAAGTAATTTGTTGTTCAAATTAATCATAAATAAATTTTTAATGATCCGAACGAATGAAATTGAAAGTCGCTAATTAGAATAAGGAAGAGCAAGTAAAGTCTATACACCGACCGTAACACGAGCGTCAGCTACCGCGCATAATTTCCAACCTCTGTGATATACAAATCTCATCTTTCATTCAATGCTCGTGCTTGTTGGGGAAAGCTTTCGCTACCAGTCACATGAAAACTGTACTGCTCCACAACCCAAATGGAGCTCATTTCTTACAACCTGCCAACTGTCACCATACAAATCGCTCCAATCATCAAATCTAACAAATGGTCCAATAATATTAAAAGACCAGAAACATAAAGGCATTGTCATACGAGTCCAAAATTATTATTTGGGGTGTCGTAAATAAATGTATTTTTTATCTTTTTAGACTAAAATGTTGAGAAAAAAATATAGATGTTTGGATTAATTTTTTGATTTTTTACAAAAAAATATGTATTAAAAAATTGTATAAAGAAGTATGTAGGAGAAGATTGGAGATGAGTGAAGGACAGCGGTGTACAATCTGCCATGCGAATTCATGCAAGAAATTATTAGGTACTTTTCAAACATTGCAGTAGATTGTTTTGTTCAGTCCATGGGGACCATCACCGATTTCATTTTGATAATCTGAACCGTTCAATGTGTAGAACTCGTCGAACACTATATGCCTATAAACAATCACGTTGATCGGACATCGATAGCTATCTAATCAGACTTATTTTTTTAATCGTTAATTATAACACTATTAATTTTTCATACAAAACTGATTTGATCATGTAGTTATCGATATCCGATCAATGTGATTTTTTATAACGTAATAGTACTAACGAGTTCTATACTTTGAACGGTTAAGATTATCAAAACGGGACTCGTGATAGGCCTCCACTGACTGAACAACAGTGTGTCAAAATTGCCCCAAAATGTCCTACCGTTCTGTCCCAACGCTGCAAAGCCGAAAAGTAGGAATGATTGTTGAGTTGTATGAATTTGTGAAAAATTAATTTTTTAATATTTTTTTTAGTGAATAGTAATAATTTTTTAACTTTTTGAGTAATTTTTTGACTTTGTGTCTTTTTTAGGCTATGCCAAACCAGTCCTATAGACTAAATTTTTAAGTCTAATGATGTAACAATCAATTACAATATCTAAGATAATACTCTTTTTTATATCTTCTCAATCATCAAATAATTATATTAGGATAAATTACACTTACAGTCTTGAAATTTTAGTTTAATACATATTATTCTTGACATTTGTAAAATTATACTAATACCCTGTCATTGTAATTATTTAGAAGAAATAAAGCTATTGAACTATGTAATATCTCTTTTCTTGTTTTGCTTTACTTCTCTCTCTCTCTTTTTAATCCTTTTCTTTGCTTTATTTTTTTTAATGTAATTTTTTTTATTTTTCTATTAGGAGTTGTTTTTTGTTATACAAGTAAGAGTTTATAAAATAGGACTATTAATCACATGAGAAATATAATTTTCAAAATGTCAAAAAATGAGATGTAATTGTACCAAAATATCAGTGTAATTTACCCATTATATTACATACATATTATTAGATCTAGAAAATAAATCTAATGAATAACTTGTATTGTATCATTTTTTGAAACATAAGTACAGATCACACTGTAGTAGCCGATAAAATCAACATATATTAAGACATTGTTTGGAAAGTTGCTATTTTAGTAGGTTATTTTAGTTTTTGACTATTTTAGTAGGCTAAAATTTTTGTATTTGAAAAGATGATTGAATTTTTTTGTGGTTGGATGTGATGTCTGTAAGAGAAAAAATAAAATGATTATGAATTTAATGTGATATTTTATTTTATTAACTATTTTAACCTATTTTATCTTTTTATAAATTTTAACCAAACTAAACTATTTTTTTTTCCTACTAAACACCCCCCTAAAATCAACCATTTGATTAGAAGAACTTGTGAATCTTTGAGGGTGGAAGGGCAGCACACTTGCTACAACCTACACTTATACCAAACTTTTTCATCTGAGGGGGTAGTTGCAACGAGTGGTGGTTGACTCTACACCATCACTCCATTTAAACACCTCTCAACACACTCTCTCCTCCAACTGAATTGAAGAGAGAGGGAGAGAGGAGAGAGAGAGAGATAGAGAGAGATGGCGCCAACAACAACGCTTACGGCTCTCGCAGAAGAGAAGTCGCTTCAGCAGAAGTTCGTGAGGGACGAAGATGAACGTCCGAAGGTGGCTTACAACGTGTTCAGCAATGAAATTCCGGTGATCTCACTCGCCGGAATCGATGAGATAGAAGGCCGGAGATCGGAGATTTGCCGGAAGATTGTGGAGGCATGTGAAGGTTGGGGGGTTTTTCAAGTCGTCGATCATGGCGTTGATGCTAATCTCATCGCTGAGATGACTCGACTCGCTCGTGAGTTTTTTGCTCTGCCTCCCGAAGAGAAGCTCCGGTTTGATATGTCCGGCGGGAAGAAAGGTGGATTCATCGTTTCCAGTCATCTTCAGGTACTGTTCATTTCTAATAGTAACGCATCGCATTCATTGGCCTTTCATTCCAATTCCAATTAAATAAATATATGAAGACAAATCTTATTTTGCTTACTATAGAATCTGATTATCTAAATTCTTAAAATAATTATAATAAAATAAACATACTCCCGTGTTTTGTCTTGGTCTAATTTTGATTACCATACTAAACATTTTAATATCTAATAATTTAAAATTCAAAATTATAGTAAGAAGATTTTTGTTTGTCATCTAAATTAGTGTTTACCAATAAATTCGATAAACTGAAAACTTGAGTAAGGGCTTGTTTGAGAATCTTTCCTTTTAACAAAAAAAAAATTAAAAAGTTACTAAGGCCTCATTTGGGAATTCTGTTTTTTAGTCAAAAAGTCAAAAAGTTATTAAATTAGTTAAAAAGCTAATAACCCATACCAAAAAGTTTAAGATTCTCTTTTCTCTTTACTTTTTGTACATCTTTTCATAAAAAATCAAAAAGTCATCCCAAACATACTAATTTTTTTAGTTCATATTTTAGCCAAAAAGTTATTAAATTAACCCGTTCCCAAACAAGGCCTAAATTAGTAAAAAAGTCAACAATTCATACCAAAAAGTCAAAAATTTTCTTTTCTCTCTACTTTTTACACATCTTTTCGTAAAAAGTCAAAAAATCATTCCAAACATACTAATTTTTTTAACTCATATTTTAATTAAATAGGTAAAAAATTATTAAATTAACATGTTCCCAAACGAGACCTGAAGTGATTTAAAATACAAATTTTAGAGATATATACAAAAAATAATAATAATAATAATAATTGAATAATTAATAAATAATAATTATAAATATGAGAAATATTATTTAGTGGGACAGATAAAACACATCTATTTAATTTATTGATTATTATTATTATTATTGGGCTTGGTTTCTGTCTGGTCCTTAATTGGATTGGACTGTGTTATTGTGCCTGTGGAGGCCAACCACGGATTCCGTTTTGATAATCTGAACCGTTGAATGTATAGAACTCGTCGAGTACTATCAGCTTGAAAAAATCACGTTAATCGAATACCGGTAGTTATGTGATCAAATCAGTTTTGTATAAAAAAAAATTGACGGTGAATAAATTAACGGTTGACAAAAATCTGATTTGATCACATAGCTACCAATATTCGATTAACGTGATTTTTTCTAAACTTATAGCACTCGACGAGTTCTATACATTAACGGTTCAGATTATCTAAGTAAGACCCGTGATAAACCCGACAGATCCAACAGCACAGTTCAGTCCAATTAATGACTGGACAGAAGCCAACGCCATTATTATTTATCCAATAATAACTTGAACTCTTCAAGTCCCAATAACCAACAAAAAGGAAACAATTCTGTTGAGTAGTTCGAAAATCGAATGTGTCTAAATGACGTGGATTCGATATTATTATTTTTTTTTTCCTCTCTCTATTCTCTCAACTGGTTTGAGAATCAAACCCTAACAAACAGAGAAGCAGGCGACGGCGAGAGAAAGAGAGGATGAGGAGGAGGAAGAGGAAGAGAGAACTGTTCTGAAATTGATGGCACTCGTTTTGCACCAACTTTCATTTTGTTTCGCCAAGTACGCGGCATGCGGATGGCAATGATTCCTCCTCCTCCTCTCTCTCTCTCTCTCTCTACAAACTAGAGAGCATCAACAACCATTGCAAAAAGTTGTAAAAAAAAAAATGTTCAAGACGAAGCTGCAAGAGGTGTGCCGCAGGAAGAAATGGGGATTGCCAAAGTACTCGTGCATCAAAGACGGAGCAGACCACAATCCTCAGTTGAGAGCCCACTTTCTGTCAATAAAAACTAGCAAACCCAACATGGGCTATTCAATTAACACCAACAAACAACATAAATCATCCAGATTCAACACTCTGGTTTCTTCAATTTCTTTCTTTCTTTTCTCTGATTTTTTCATTTTTTTCTTTATGTTGTTTTTGGAGAGTTGTTGATTTAGAAAACAGATCTGGAGGAAGAATGAGGGAGGGTGGTGTTGGGACAGCCGAAGCTGGTGGGGGTGGAGGAGAAGAGGCCGCCGGCAGTCGTGGTGGTGGGGTAGAGAGGAGAGAGAGGAGAGAAAAATTCGGGACATTCAGGGTCAAACATTCGAGCTACAAAACATTTTTTAAAAATAAAAAATTTTAAAAGGCTAAAGTACCATGGAATACTTATCTTAGGGATGGTATATTTTATACTAATTAATTACTGCTCAATAATTTTAGATTTTGATAGGCTTATTGGCTCAACGTCACCATTAACTGATGTATGCAGGGGGAAGCAGTGCAAGACTGGAGAGAAATAGTGACCTACTTCTCATACCCGATCCGGGCCCGGGACTACTCAAGATGGCCCGACAAGCCCGAAGGGTGGAGGGCTGTAACGGAGACCTACAGCGAGAAATTGATGGACTTGGCTTGCAAGTTGCTGGAGGTGTTGTCCGAGGCTATGGGCCTTGAGAAGGAGGCTCTGACAAAAGCCTGTGTTGATATGGACCAGAAGGTGGTTATAAATTTCTACCCGAAATGCCCACAACCCGACCTCACGCTCGGACTCAAGCGACACACGGATCCGGGTACCATCACCCTGCTCCTCCAGGACCAGGTTGGTGGGCTCCAGGCCACTAGAGATGGGGGCAAGACCTGGATCACGGTTCAGCCCGTGGAGGGAGCTTTTGTTGTTAATCTGGGTGACCATGGTCATGTGAGTAATGAATCTAATGACTTACTCTTTACTTGTATCAAATTTAATTTTAAGTACAAAAAAATTCTTAAAACTATATCTATTCCTTTACTCAAAATCATATCGAAATAAATTTCACTCAAATTAGTGGAGACCCAAATTTTTTTATGCCTAGTTTATCCATTTCAAATTTATAATACTATGCCATTAATGAAATTTTTACTCAATTTAATGTTTAAATATGAGTTTGTTCATTGAATAGATGGCCTTACTGGTATATTGGTATATTCTAATAAATAATGAGGGGCTTAAGATCCTTTGTATACGGGTATATTCTTTTATTCTATCATTAACAATAACATAATTTAATTTTTTATAAATTAAAAATCGTGTGTGTGTATGTGAATATGCATGGTGATAGGCAAACTTGTACATTGTTAGAGCTTTTGTTTTAGGGTGCTGTTATGGTGTGCAACCCCTTAAGGTTGCATACCATATGCAACCAACACAAAAGGTGTGAATGGAAGGTGTAAACATAAAACAGGACAGTAAACAGAAAGACGTAAGTGTAAGGTGTAAGTTGCACACTTAAGAGAAAGGTGTAAGGTGAAGTTCGAGATGTACAAATGTTCAGAAAGCAAGCGCGGAGAGTTTTATCTTGGAGATTTGGGAAGATTACAAATTATGTTATTAATTTTTTAGTTAGAATGAATTTTATTATGCATTGTATATGTTCTACGGTGAGATCGGATTTATATATGCTTTACTTGCCCGTATTTGACATAATTTAGCAAATTTTGAAATGAACAGTATCTAAGCAATGGGAGGTTCAAGAATGCGGATCATCAGGCAGTAGTGAACTCCAACTGCAGCCGACTATCAATCGCCACATTCCAGAACCCAGCTCCTGAGGCGACAGTATACCCACTGAAGATTAGGGAGGGAGAGAAGCCGATTCTTGAAGAGCCAATCACGTTCGCGGATATGTATAAGAGGAAGATGAGCAAAGATATTGAGCTTGCCAAGCTGAAGAAATTGGCCAAAGAGAAGAAGCTATTGCAAGATCAGCAAGATATTGAGAAGGCCAAGCTGGAAATCAAAAGCACTGATGAGATTTTTGCTTGAGAGTGTATTTTTGTGTGGATGTGCCTTTGCCACACTTTTCTCCATAATTACCTTAATGTCGAGTAAAATGGTGTGGTTTTATGATGGATAGATTCAAATAAAAAGAGTAATATTTTAATATTATTAAATTATGTCCTTTTGCTAATGTATTTTGCTATGATACAAACCAATACAAGTTTGTTATCCAAGTTCATGTTTCATTACCTCAAAGTTTGCCTTTGTTGTTTCACTTGCATAATTGCATGAAGGGATATAATATTCTTATTCATGGTGACTCAACTCTTAGGTTAATTAACCTATCGCATGAAGTTCATTAAAAGGTTTTAAAAAATTCCTATTGTTAAAAATTCTAATTTTTTAAAAGTACAATAAATTAAGCCCTTAATTTAATATTTAGCCTAAGATTGTAAAGAATTTTAAATCGCTATTAGTCAACTTATTATATGCGTATTTATGTGCTAGGATTCTAGGGGTCGACGTGGCTAGGCTAAGTTGGGCCTATACTAACATTTCAAGTAGCTTAGGTGCCGTTTTGGGAAGACTATCAAAACGCCACGTTTTTTATCCAACTTCAAAAAAATCTCCTGGCTCAAAACGCAAGTTTATCCATTTGGGAAGTCAAAAAACGCCACAGTCGAAATTACAATTTGGGCCATGAGAAAAAAGTGAAAAAATAAAAAATAAATGTGAAGTAAGGATATTTTGGTCATTTTGAAGTGATGTGACACTTTTAAAAAATATTAAACTAAAAATAAAAAAAAATCAGCTTTTTACCAATTTCCCAAATCACTTTCAAAAAAGCTAAAAAATTTAGTAAAAAGCCAAAAGCTAGCTTTTTACCAACTTCCCAAAACACCCCTATGAGAGATTCTATTTATATCTAAAAAAATTATTAAGTATATTCAATTAAAATTTTGTTATTATATATAATATAAATTTATTTTAAAGATAATACATATTAAATTTTAAAATAAAATATTTTTTTTTTCTCATAATACATTTTAATCACATATACGTATTGTTTATTTTCTTTTTTTTTTCAAGTTGCAATTTTTTTCCCCCTTTTTCTTCACTACAAATCTCTAAACTATTCCATCAAAGCTCACCATTACCATCAATATCATTATTTTTTATTTTTGAGAATAAAAAAAAGTTTGAACAAAATCAAATAATGAATGAAAATAATAATAAAAACTATATTTTGCAATAATCCATTAAAAAAGAGATAAGTATTCACATAATTATTAAGGTACAATTTTTTTTAATTTTTTATTATTTACATAACAACGAATATTCAACTTGTTTAACATCATTATTGTTCAGACTTTCAGATCTGAACAAAGTCAACATGTTCGGATTTGAAAGTCCGAACCAAACAATATTGTTCAGGATTGTAAGTTTGAACATGGTGATTTTGTTCTTATTTAGGTATACCTTGGAAGGTAATTTTGAAAAAATTATAAGGTGTACTAAAAATAATATAAAATTTTAAATAATTAAATAAAGTGTGTTGAGAAATTAAGAATACTTAATAATTTTTTAAGTGTAAAATAAAATCCCCCGTAATTTCACCAACTTGGCCTACCATGAAATCGGACCTATACTTTATTGTAAAATCTGTAAAAAAGAAACTTTAAAAAATCTCAAATCCGCCCACATAGTCCAACTATTATTTAATATTACTATTTTTCTGTCATACTTTATATATATACTAGCGTATACCTGTGCCTGAAGGCACGGTGTAAATAATGTTGAGATTAGAATATAATTGTAATTCTAATATTATTTAATAAATTATCAATTATTAATTTAATATAATTGTAATCCCAACCCTTCTTGTCTTAAAAATAAATTATCAATTACAGAAATGAAATTATGCCTTCAATCTGAAAATTCCTGTTTCTATACCAAGAAAATGGCATAGGCAAACAACCATTGTTGAGCTTTGGTGATCCACCACAAAACAAACTCAAAAACATCTATCCAAGTTCACAGAAGCTGTGGAAGTTTCCAATCAAATGAAAGGATTTGAAATTAAACTTTATAAGAACATAGGCGAGTTTTCAAATGAAATTCAATTAACGCCCAAATAGTTTTATTTTAGTTTAATTACGTGTTTATGCGATCTTTAAGTTGTTGTTATGTTATTTCTTTTACAGTCAACAATAAAGTAAAAAGTTTTGCGAGCAGGTAAAGAACAAAGTTTTTCAACAATCAAAGCAAATGCAAACTCAATGTTTGAACTTTTAAGGAAGGAGAAAAAAAGAAGCTTGAAAACAGAAACCTATTTGCTAAATTTTTGACAAATTTTCTACAGACTTAAAAGGCTAAAAATAAAACGTCCACTGTTTAATTGAGATTGAGATGGGCTCAACTCCAAAATACATTATTATTAACTCCAAAATTGGACATATCTCTATAAAGTTACATGTCAAATAGAAAGGGAAGCACTGTGTGCTGTACATGAAATCTTAGAAGTAATACAAAATATTATCAACCAACAAATCCAAACAACAAATCCGTCAGAAAACTCATTTCAAAATCAACCCAACCAAACACCCACATATCAAAAATATCCAGATTCAACTTTACAAACCCACAAAAAATTCAGATTCAAGCAAAAAAATATTCAACTTTACAAAACATTCATTTTCAAGCAAACCCACAAAACATTCTCATAGAATTGCATATAATTGGCATTTATGTTATTTGGCATTTATGTCCTGATTTGAACCTTTGTTATCTCATAGAATTGCATATAATTGCATGTAATTTATCATTATTTGGTTGGTTAAGAGTTGAAATTGATACTGTTTAGTGTATATTTGTCATTTATGCCTGATTACAACATAATTGTCATTTGGTTCAGAGTTGAAATGGACACAATTTAGTGTAGGTCGACTTATTATATCATGCATTCAAGCAAAAAATATCATGAATTCAAGTTGGAAGTTGATTAGTTTTGGAATCAACCAAGACCAAGAACATCTCCAAGACCCGACCCCTGCTATGTAGTAAATTTAGAGAAAATATTTTAGGGTCTTAAACATTTTACTAAGAACATCTCCAACCCTTCATTAATTTTATACATTGGACTATACATGTATATATCTCAAGTGAAACCCATTTCAAACCCAAAAATTTTTAAAAATGAAAATATCCAGATTCAAAATCTATTTCAAAATCTATGAAAATATAGAGTGTATAAACTGGGTTTATATATTCAAAGTCTATGAAAATATATTCAAAATCTATGAAAAATGAAAAAAATTTGTGTGACAAACTATTTTTGAAAATATTGTTCTCAAGAAACAGTTCTAAACTTTTTTTTTTTTAATTTTTCAAGAATGTTTTCACACCAAAATGGAAAAGATGTGTGTTTATGAATTTGTCATTGTTTTCAAAAACCCATATAAAAACAAAAACAATAATGAAAAAAAAAATTGAAATCCATATCGAACAATAATGAACTTACAAAATCATATGTTTGGTTAATGTGGTTCACTCGATAGAATTCCTCAACAGTTTGTTGTCTTTCACTCTTTGCATCATAGTCCTTGTCAAGTTTTTTCATGTTAGAATTCATCTCGTCAATTCGGCTAAAACTTGATTGATCTATAGCCCTAATTGCTACATGATGCAACTTCCATTTTTGCTCATACCGATTATAAATATTAAAAAAAAGGGGAAAAAAAGGGAAAAATAAAAAAATAAAACTGACCTAAATGAGTGGCCAAATGAATTGATCTCTGGGGCATCAAACCCAGTATCTTGCACAGATTTTGGAACTGGAAATCCTTCATGCAAAACCAAGTCATTGTTATCAAAAAGAACCCTCTTATCCTCCCCTTGTGAACCTATCAATAAAATTAAAAAAAATAAAAATAAAAATAAAAAATTATGAAATTGATTTTCTATACTGATCATGACAACCATCAAAGTATGTATCCAAAATGTATACAGAAACATGTTTTATAAAAACAAAAACAATAAAAACATACCCATATCAGGTTCCTCAAGTGAAACCCATTTCAGACCCAAAACTTTTCAAAAATGAAAATATCCAGTTTCAAAATCTATGAAAATATCCAGATTCAAAACTCATTTCAAAATCAACCCAACCAAACACCCACATATCAAAAATATCCAGATTCAACTTTACAAACCCACAAAAAATTCAGATTCAAGCAAAAAAAATATTCAACTTTACAAAACATTCATTTTCAAGCAAACCCACAAAACATTCTCATAGAATTGCATATAATTGGCATTTATGTTATTTGGCATTTATGTCCTGATTTGAACCTTTGTTGTTTGGCATAGGGAGTATAGTTATTTGACATTTATGTTCTGATTTGAACCTTTGTTATCTCATAGAATTGCATATAATTGCATGTAATGTATCATTATTTGGTTGGTTAAGAGTTGAAATTGATACTGTTTAGTGTATATTTGTCATTTATGCCTGATTACAACATAATTGTCATTTGGTTCAGAGTTGAAATGGACACAATTTAGTGTAGGTCGACTTATTATATCATGAATTCAAGCAAAAAATATCATGAATTCAAGTTGGAAGTTGATTTGTTTTGGAATCAACCAAGACCAAGAACTTCTCCAAGACCCAACCCCTGCTATGTTGTAAATTTAGAGAAAATATTTTAGGGCCTTAAACATTTTACTAAGAACATCTCCAACCATTCATCAATTTTATACACTGGACTATACATGTATATATATCACGTGAAACCCATTTCAGACCCAAAACTTTTTAAAAATGAAAATATCCAGATTCAAAATCTATGAAAATATAGAGTGCATAAACTGGGCTTATATATTCAAAGTCTATGAAAATATATTCAAAATCTATGAAAAATGAAAAAAATTTGTGTGACAAACTATTTTTGAAAATATTGTTCTCAAGAAACAGTTCTAAACTTTTTTTTTTTTAATTTTTCAAGAATGTTTTCACACCAAAATGGAAAATATGCGTGTTTATGAATTTGTCATTGTTTTCATAAACCCATAAAAAAAAAACAATAATGAAAAAAAAAATTTGAAAACAATAGTGAACTTACAAAATCATATGTTTGGTTAATGTGGTTCACCCGATAGAATTCCTCAACAGTTTGTTGTCTTTCACTCTTTGCATCATAGTCCCTGTCAAGTTTTTTCATGTTAGAATTTATCTCGTCAATTCGGCTCAAACTTGATTGATTTATAGCCCTAATTGCTACATGATGCAACTTCCATTTTTACTCATACCGATTATAAATATAAAAAAAAGGGTAAAAAAAGGTAAATAAAACAAAATAAAACTGACCTAAATGAGTGGCCAAATGAATTGATCTCTAGAAATCCTTCATGCAAAACCAAGTCATTGTTATCAAAAAGAACCCTCTTATCCTTCCCTTGTGAACCTGTCAATAAAATTTAAAAATAAATAAATTATGAAATTGATTTTCTATACTGATCATGACAACCATCAAAGTATGTATCCAAAATGTATACATAAACATGTTTTATAAAAACAAAAACAATAAAAACATACCCATATCAGGCTGCTCAAGTGAAACCTATTTCAGACCCAAAACTTTTTAAAAATGAAAATATCCAGTTTCAAAATCTATGAAAATATCGAGATTCAAAACTCAATTCAAAATCAACCCAACCAAACACCCACATATCAAAAATATACTGATTCAACTATACAAACCCACAAAAAATTCAGATTCAAGCAAAAAAATATTCAACTTTACAAAACATTCAGATTCAAGCAAACCCACAAAACATTCAGATTCAACTTTACAACCAAATCCCAGATTCAACACAACTTTACATTCAGATTCAAATTCAGATTCAACACCCAGATTCAACACAACTTTACATTCAGATTCAGATTCAGATTCAAGCAAACCCACAAAAAATATCATGAATTCAAGTTGGAAGTTCTAGTTTTCCTTGCAAGGGGAGAGAGACGAAAGAGGAGGGTGAGAGGAGAGGAGGTGGTCGGTGGTGTCGGTGGTCGTCGGCGTCGCACGGGATGGGCTCCGATGAAGGTAGAGAGAGAGAGTTCAAAAATTGAAATGAGAGAGAGAGAAAGGAGATGAATACCTGTGATGGAGAGGGGAGAGAGAGATAAAGCCGTTGATGCTTAAATCTGTTCCTCATCAACCATTGATGGAGAGAGAGGGAAATAAAGACATCTCAGCCATTGAAGTTGAGATGAAATAATTTAGACCATTGGATTAAAATTAAAATGTATCTCACATACATTTTAAGACATTTTCAAAAAGCCTTTTACCTTATTATATAGATATATATATATATATATATAATTATAATTATTTTAATGGTTTGAGTGCCTCATTAACAAGTAATAATTATTTTAGTTTTTGAAAATTTTAATTTGGCAATATATTTAAGTAATAGGAAGAGTTTAAATAATTACATGACTCTAAAAATAAAAATAAAAAATAAAGAAATGATAAGATATTATTGAATGAACATACAATCACATAATTTTCTTGACTCATATTGTAATTCTTTCATGACTAAATAATACATAATTTGATTGGGCTGGAAAGAATATGTTACACACTTTTTAAAAGGTATGTATTATATACATCTTATAACTATAGAAGAAAAATATATAACTTTATGCTTTTTGAGTCACAATTAGAAGGGAAAAAAAAAAGTCATAACCAAACATAAAAAAATTATTATTAAATATCTCAAAATAATATCATAACTAATATTAAAATTAGTCCTAACTAAAAATGAAAGTGACGTAATTAAAAGTATATATGGTATAGAGGGAGTTGGGGTGCCAGCTGTGCACCCAACACAACAGGTATTGTTGTGCGGCCCTATGGATTTATTTCGGGATTCGTTTTGATAATCCGAACTGTTCACATTTTAGAGTATATTGAGTAGAACACAGCTGTAAAAAATTAAGTTAATTAGATATCGTTAACCCTTTCATCCACTCACATTTGTATATTAAAAAATAAATAACATTGTGATTTAAAGTGTTAAAATGAATATAAATGTGAGTGAATGAAAGAGTTAACGATATCTGATTAACTTAATTTTTTGTAGGTATATTCTACTCGATGTATTTTAAAATATGAAACGGTTCAAATTATCAAAACGAATCCCGAAATAAGCCTATAAAATTCTCCTTTTTGATGAGAAACAAGAAAAGGTGTATCAGCAGGCTTTTAAGCTCAGCTTTCATCCCCCTTACGCGCTGAAGCAAGGGCAATTCTTGCGTCCGTACAATGGTCTTTGAAGATGAAAATCACATGCTTATCTATATTCACATATTGCAAAGATTTGGTAGACAGTCTTTCTCACAAATGTAATCTGGAATGGAATGTGGATCTTGTTTTATTTTGAGCAGCCAGCAAAATAAAATTTTATTAAAATAAAGAAAGATTACAAAATGGTTTGGGAAAAAGTTACATCATCGTGAAAGCTAAATATCTCAACAATGTTGATATCCAAAACAAGACTAATCATGTGCATTTTCAAATGTCACAAAAAAGAGTTAGAGAGATTCCAACTTAAACAGATCAAGACACTCCAAAAACTTACAAGATACTTTACACCTTTCCACCTATACACTTTCTAATTTGTAAAATATTAAACAGAAAATCATTGATAGAATAGTGGAAATCCTTGAATGAAGCTTTTACCCAAATAGCTAATTTGACGATGATTGATTCCGTAGCTCCCCCATCATTGGTTGAATACCATTAAACAAGCATTTATTTCGATACTTCCATATGAACCGAAGGACAACAAAAGATATGACTTTTAGATTCACCTCTCAATTTTCCTGAAGTAGATGCCATCACACCACTGCATTTTATGTATGGTAACATAACAAAATATAAACTATTAGATTTAGATAAAATAAATGCTAGCCATTGGATAAATTAAAAGTAAAATTAGGTGGAAAAAGTAAAGTGATTTTTTAAAAAGTAAAGTAGTTTTAGTTAATTTTAAAATAAAAAAGAATAAATTATAAATACATCCCTTGAGGTTTGATTAAAATACAAATCACCCCTGTAGTTCTACAAATTACATTCTACTCCTGAGATTTCTAATTTCATAAGAAATCGCCCATTTTATTAATAAATCATCAGATCAATTAACTGTTTTTAATGATATTAAAAATATGTTTCAATTAACACTACAAGAAAATACACTTTTGGCGACTAAAACATTCGTCGCCAAAAGTGCATATTTTAGTCGCCGAAAGTATTTCCCGACTAAATTAGATAATTTTATTATTGTATAAGAGAGCAATTATGGATTTTTTTTTTTTTTTAGTTAATTTTGTTGAATAAAGTTTTTTAACAAGGGATGCTTGTAATTTTTCAAACCATAGAGACCAATATGTATTTTAAGCAAACCTCAAAAAGGTGTATTTGTAATTTGCCCTAAAAAAATGATGCTAACTTACCATTTATTACAAACATGCTTACTATTTGGTATTCATTCACTTACTATTTGTTATGAATAAATTTACTATTCAAAATATTACTTGCTAAATAGGTCACTTTCAATTCTTGAAATTTGTACCATCTTTTATATTTTAAATACGTTAAACTAATGACTTACCATATTTAACTATTTTTCCGCTATATTTTGTCTTGTTATGATTTGTAAAAAATAACACATAATATGTAAATATTAATTTATTAATTTATTTTTTAAATTTACTAATTTTTCAAAATAGTCATTATTGTGAAAAATTAAATTTTGATATAATATTAATAAATAAAAAATTGTAAATAAAACATTTTAAAGTATAAGTTATTTAAACTTAATTTTAAAAACATTAATTTAAAATAGTTATTATCATTATTATTTTGTTACCTACACCATCTCAAAATAGTAATTAGTATTTAAGGGCCTGTTTGGTAACGCTTATATTTATTATTTTCTATTTAAGTATAATTTTATTGGCTATTAACTTAAGTCTATTGAAGTGGTATCTTATTGATTGATAAGTATGTTTAATTAAGTAATAAGTATAGTTTGATTGAGTGGTATGTGAAAACTTAATAAATAATAACTCAAGTCTAATAGAGTAGTACGTGGAAATTAAAATATTTTATTGAGTAATAACTTCTTGCATGGTATAACAAGCACGTGGTTATGAGAATATATTGGATTCACACAAGAAGACATGTACAACTATTTTGGGATTGAGCGTAAAGTACAAGTTGTCGATGGTGACGCAGAAGGTGATGGTAGTGGTGGTGGTGGTGGTGGTGGTGGTGGTAGTGGTAGTGGTAGTAACATGTTGGTGATGGTGGTAGTAGCTGTAGCGATAGTAGTAGCGGTGGTGGTAGTAATAGTAGCGGTGGTTGAATAGTAAATCAAGTTTGATTAAATAGTTGTGAAGTCTTATTGACTAGTAAGTGAGATTTAGTTGAGTAGTAAGACACTATTTGACATAAACTAATAAGTGCACTTATTTAGATAAGTGAACTTATTTGAGTCACATTATCTCTCTATTTTTTTTTTGTATATTTTTTCGTAAAAGTCAAAAAATATACTCATTTAGATCATTCCAAACAACCGCTAAGTCAAGTCTAATTGAGTAATAAGAGAAGTCTCAATAAGTAGGATAAACAAAAATCATTTAGTAACAGTAATAATGAAAGCAGAGAAGAAGTGAAGATTGAGAACTAAGAACTACCCAAGAGTGAACATTTTCGTTATTTAGGATCGCTTATCACAACAGCGGGGGAAATTGATGCGGATGTGGCCCATAGGATTAAGGCAGAATGGTGTAAGTGGAGAAGTGCGTCTGGGGTACTGTACGATAAACGAATACTCACTAAACTAAAAGGTAAGTTCTATAGAACGGCTATTAGACCAACGATGTTGTATGGGACGGAGTGTTGGGCAACCAAGAAACAACATGTAAATAAAATGAGTGTGATTGAGATGAGGATGCCAAGGTGGATGTGTGGCAAGACTAGACACGAAAGAATAAAGAATGAGTGTATTCGGGAATGAGTAGGAGTAGCACTGATAGAAGATAAGTTGAGAGAGAATCGATTAAGATGGTTTGGTCATATTCACTGGAGACCAACAGAGCCAGTAGTGAAGAGATGCAATGCTGTAATGGTAGATGGAAGTGTTAGGGGATGGGGTAAGCCTAGATTAACGTTGGCTAGCGTTGTAAATAGAAATTTGGATCTACTTAATTTGACTAACGAAATGGCTTTTGATAGGGCTGCGTGGAGAAGAAGGATTCATGTAGCCGATCCCATTTGATGGGACTTAAGGTTTGGTTTGGTTTGAATTATTTAGTAATTTTTATAAACTCAAATATTTTTAAAAAAAATGCCTAATAGGTCCAAATAATTTATTTAATAATTTAATGTAGTAGTAAGGGGACCTTTCTTAAATAGTGAGAATTAGGTTTTAAATAATCATGTAAATTATTTTTATTTGTAAAATGATAGCACATTGCTTAATGTCGAGTAAGTTATGAGTAATATATTGTGATTATGTTATAAAATTACTTCTTTAGTTTGATTTGGTTTCAAGATTTTTATAGTTTCATTCTAAATTTTAAAAATCTGTAAGTAATTGTTTGGTCATTAGTTTATTCTTAAACAAACCAAATTAAATCATACTCACCCCTAATAAAGAAGCTTACTAATATGACTGTTGGCTTTTTGGCTTTCGAAGGTTATTATTGTAATTGCGAGCGTGCCAACAAGGATCAATCAGTCCTTACAGAAAATTAATTGCCAACCAATTATCAGACGATTGTGTTTTAGTTCTTTCAGCCTCAATGAAGAGGACTTTTACTGGTGGCTTGATTTAAGAGAATTAAGCAAAATAACAATTAAATGAAGAACAATTGAAGCATTTCAAAAAAATGAAAAATTTACAATGATCCAAACTCAGTCTCGTAGAGGTTTACAGCAACAATCTATTTGAAACTACTCCTATGAACGAAGTGCAGTGCAGGAATTTAAAGTACAGGAATGTAAAGAACAGGAAATGTAAAACTGGAAAGGAAATAAAATAGAATAAGACTGGTTTTTTGGATCTGAGTCTAGGGGATTTTTCTGGGGCCTTCTCTGCTATTTGTACTTCTCGAGGATGACCATCGAATTGCATTTCCAACGGTC